TAGGCCCAATTCTTCCCTTAGACCAAGTCCAGCATGCTCCCCAGCAGGATATTTTCCTTTTTCCGCAAATCTGACAACCCAACGTCTAAAATATCATATTTGACTTTTTTGGTAAAAGCTGCTCCCCAACCCTTTTGCAACCTACTCCTCTGCTCTGATCCTGCCAGTTATCTTTCTTCAGCATAGAGTCTTCAGACTTAAAATTTTCGACTTGTTCCAAAGTCAGACGGCGGCCGCACTCTTCCTCGGGAAAATGATTTTCACTGTACCCGTAATTTGAATTTCACCATCCCCCCCGGAAAACTCCTCCGGTTTTAAAAAATACCGATCCCAGTATGGCTTTGACCTTGAAAGATCTGCCGTAAGACCCTATTGTGACCATTTCAGGGACATCAAACGGACTGGCGACCCTGATCAAAACTCTTGCTGACGATAAATCTGACCTATTCTTTGAAGAATCCAAGATGCCAATGAACTTTCCCATTTCTGCACAAGTTTCTCCAAGAACTCTACATTCCAGCATAATAACGGTAATCCCATCAATTCCACGAGACAGAACGCCAATGGAACTCCTTCCTCGTTTAGCAATGGCTCCAGCCAATCAAACCAATAACAGATCTCCTCCTGTTTTCTTGCCCATGTGTCAGAGTAGTCTTCAATCGATTTAAAGGTTACAACACAAGCATTCCATGCGTAGCCCCATCTCGCTATTCTTACCTGAATTCCTTCACTTGCCAAAGCTTTTTGAACAAATTCTTGCTCGAAGGAATGCTTGATTACCCCTGTTAAAGACCTTTTCACCCAAGTCGAATCCTCCGAGGAGATATGCATCTCCCAGACATTCCTTATCCCATTAGCAGCCTTCCTTATCCTTTTACCATCCTCTTTATTGACATTTCCGCAATCCTCTCTATTGGTCGTTTCCACCACCTCTTTGTATGATCTACTGTCCCTCAGGTTTCTCAAAGATCCAGCTTGCTTCTCACCATTTGTTTTCTCCGCCCTTATTGGGATTGGCCCATCCCTCGTAGACCTGCCTTCAGTAACTTCTCTATTCCTGTTGTTCTGATATTTTTCTAACCCGACTGAAACTTTTTTCCCATCGATCCAAGTTCCGTTAACACCCTGAATAGCCCTCCTCCTCCCTTCCTCACTTGCAAAAACTTGATCATAATGCTGAAATATTTCCCTTAATTCACCTCTTGTAACCCTCTTGCTAAGATTATCAACGAAAATCGTCCATTTCTCCCCCACAATAAACTGACCATTCGCTCCTTCTCTCTCTAAGTTTTTGACTCTCTCACTCATTTTTTCTACAGCTTCTGCCAGTTGCATCACGTAATTTTGTTTTTCTACACATTTTAATAAAATATACAACAAAACCCTTCATTAAACAACCATTATCAAGCTGACTTATTCAGACTAAAGAGTTTCAGATCATTATTCAGTCCAGCAAATCTGTCTCAAGAAAATGCATACTGAATTAAGAAAATGACAAAATACCAATATACAAATATACCTGCGTTAACCCCAAAATTTCTACTTCTTCACCAACTTTAATGGTCCCTGCTTCAACACGACCAGTTGCAACAGTTCCACGTCCCTTCAGTAAACAAGTCAAAATCAACAGAGCTAAATTAACAATTTTAACTCCAAAATTCAGTTTCTGGCATGCAATAGTAACAAAATTCTCTGACATTTACTCAAAATTTGCTCAGACACTCGATAGAATGGAAATTTACTCAAATACAGAAGGGGAACAGATATGATTGCAATTTCAGCAAAACAATATATGCAAGTAACATTATCATATTTTAAATGAAAAAAGCTTACATTTCAAAGCATTAAAACCTCAATTCCTCATCCTATCATGATATAGAGAATGGGAAAATGACAATAATATTATAGCCACAACCTAGTTACTTGACATTTAATACAATCCTAAAGAAGATTGGATGGCTAAAAAGGGGAAGAAAGACCAAGACAGATGATAACCAAAGAGACAAAAGAGAGCTAAAACAACTGATTGAGCAAAGCCAAAAGAAATAACTAGTAGCAAGGAAAGAAAATGCATGGCACACTACCTGAATTGAGAAAACATCTTCGATTGGCATCAGGAAAGGTTTGTCAAGTTGGCGCACAGGGTCAGGAATGTACTGATCTACGGCCTCCATTAGTTTCAAAATTGCATTTTTGCCAATTTCCTCATTTGTACCCTGTAAAGCAGACAATGCTGATCCCCGAATAATAGGTATTTCATCCCCAGGAAACTTGTAGAAGCTAAGAAGCTCTGTTGCAAGGATAAACTTATGTGAATTAGTTCCAAGAAGTCAAAACAATGAAAACACAAGAATAACTCAAAAGGTTACTTACCACGAAGCTCCATCTCCACAAGCTCCAACAGCTCTGGATCATCAACAGCATCAACTTTATTCAGAAAACACACAAGAGAAGGCACACCAACCTGTAGACAAAAAACATCTTACATGTAAATAATTCTCTCTTCTGAAACCACAGGCAAACATCCAAGATAAATAATTCAAGCAGCTAATAGTAGTATATTCACCTGTCGGGCAAGTAGAATATGTTCCTTAGTCTGTGGCATGGGCCCATCAGGAGCAGACACAACCAGGATACCACCATCCATTTGAGCGGCACCAGTGATCATATTCTGCAGAACATGTTATGGTTAGGCCACTGCTCATAAGAGGTTTGACAGTTGGAATTATGCTGTGCATTAATAAAATAAATATGAAACAGCAATTCAAGATGGTTAGTGTCAGCACCTAAGTTAGTGAAAATGGATAAAACTAGCAGTAGAAGTAATATTGAAGTTGTAATAAGAGAGCATATAAAAATTTGTGTAACAAAGGGTAGGCAGCAAAAGATTCTAGAAACATATTTCTTATTTACAATATTAAGTTAAGGGCTTACTTTAACGTAATCAGCATGACCGGGGCAGTCTACATGAGCATAGTGACGCTTCACTGTCTCGTACTCCACATGAGCCTGCAAAATCAAATCAAGTGTGATAACAGTGCAAGGAGGAAAATATCAAGAAAGAAATTGCATTAAACTTATTCAAGAGAAACAAAAATTACCAACCGTTGCAATTGTAATTCCTCTCTTCTTTTCCTCAGGAGCCTTATCAATTTCATCAAACGCAACAGCCTTGGCTTTTCCTTCGTCTGCCAGCACCTATTAACAAAATTCCAGAACCTATCATCAGATCACTATTGTAACGCTAATAACGGCTTCATAACTATTCCAAAGTGACATAATTTGTGGAGAGAAAACGGAGTATTAAGAATATCCATAAGCCAACCTTTGTGATTGCGGCAGTCAGTGTGGTCTTCCCATGATCAACATGCCCAATTGTTCCTACATTAACATGAGGTTTTCTGGAAAAGAAACGATTTCAACCGTTAAAACTAAAACCCATTTTCCACCTCTGTTCTTTTCATTGTTTGTATATCATGTTTCAACAGATACCCGTCATTAAACTACAGAAAAGTTAAAGAAAATGCCTTTTTTTTCAAAGCACAAATTTTCACCAACTAAACTCCCTAAAAGAACAAATATACCCCACACCCCTCCCCGGAAAAGGTGTGAGAGTTGAAAGTAACAAAGGGAAAGATATTTAATTTATTCAGAAAATGGAAATGGAGAGAACTAACGTGCGAGTGAAAGTAGCCATGGATCTCCACCAAGGGTTAGCGTTAGCTGGAACCGCCGCCTCATTTCCAGAGAGGAAATCGGAGACTGAGAAGTGGGAAGAAGAGATGGAGCCACGAGAGGACCAGTAAATTGGGGAAGAGAATGAGAAAAGACGCCTCGAATTAGAGTTCCGAATGACGAGAGCAGCCATTTGTTTATGCTTTTGACTTTGATCTGTTGGTAGAAAACGCAAAGGTAGTACAGCGAGTGGAACAGATGGGAGATGGGGGGGATTTTGCTGCTGGCTTTGGGGGAAGGGTTTTAGTATTCAACAGTGTTATTGTTAGCCGAGGGTTTAGAGTGAAAGGAGAAACAAAAAAGGGAGGCTCTCAGCCCAATTATATTTGTTTTTGACGGCCCCAAAACCACTCACTCGTTTATTTAAATTTAAGGGTAAAGTACAAAGAGGTCCCTAAACTATGATCCAAGGGTCAATAAACTTTTAAAAGTTACAAAATTATCAAAGTGTAATAAAAGTGTCATTTCAACGTTATAATAACAAAGTTTGATAAGTTCAATAAATATTTTATAATAATCTGAAAAAAATTAATAATAATTATTTTATTCAATAAAATTTAATGATCATTTTATAATAATTCAATAAATTTGGTGACAATTTTGCAACATTACAAATATTTTGTAATAATTCAATAAATTTAATGATTAATTTGTAATTTTTAAAGATATAATGATCAAAACAACCATTTGATCATAGTTTAAGAACCTCTAGTGTAATTTACCCTAAATTTAATTATAGCACTAACGAGTGCTAGTGTAGATTTTCATTTTATTGAAAGTCCGTGAATTTATGATTTTGGTTTGTCTACTTTTGTCAGATTTGGAATTTAAACCCATTCTAATATATTTTAGTTTGATCATTTATTTTCACAATGCCATTAGTTCAAGTAGTTGCCACTATCCATTTGGATTAAAATGCTAATATTATGTGCATAGTATAGGTAGGAACCATAATGACTACTAATGGCTAGGATGCACTGGCTATGAGCCAATGACGACACCGAAATTGGGAGGTCCTCCATGGTCCAGTTGTCACGCTCGCTCTTCTGCGAGCAACAGTAGCGAGCGTGACCTTCACCTGTTGAAACACATGTTGCAGAATCTACTTGTGAACAAGGCATCAACATTTAAAAAACCAGGGTTCAAGATCATATCAATAAGTCGATCAATATCAAGGTTAGTAAAATGGCCACAAGCAAAGCAATTTTAGTAGGCACATAGATGCTTCAATTTCATTTCAATCAATCATCTTAAAGCTACACTAATCGTAGAAGACACTTGCATTTCAAATGAAAAGGGAAAGGGATACAAGGAAAAAGAAACATCATAATGCAATAAATTCTTAACAATAAACATCAAATTAAAGTTTTTCATCAAGATTTAACCGGTTCGTCGTCATCTTCAATATCCCAGCTCAAATCCTCATCTTCTTCTGCAGTACTTAGTCGCTTTCTCAGGTCAGCCCTATTGGAGGAGCTCGGGTTTCCGCTATGAGTTCCTTTCTTATCATCAATGATGCTAAGATCCTCAATTTCATCCCACCCGAGATCCTCATCCTCCTCAGCCATAGATGGATGGCTTGACACGACTGAAAAATCACTGTCTTTACCACTTCCACTACTTGGCTTCAGCTCCTCATTCTTGCCGTTCCCTTCAGAAACCACTTTCTGGACAGATTTCGCCACTGAATCATCCTTGCAAGCCTCTTCATTCTTCTCCAAATTAGCTTTCTCTGTAACCACATTACCACCACTTGATTCAATATCATTTCCCTTCCATTCCACTCGCGGTTCCTCTACAGGATTCATTTCCTTTACCTTCTCAGCAGCTTGATCCTCACTCTCCAAAGCAGCACCTTTTCCAGCTTTCTCTACCACCATTTTTTTATCCAAAATATCAGTTTCTTCTGCTTTCTGTTCCACGGTTGCATCTTTTTCCTCCTTCTCCACATCTTCTTGCTTCTTTAAAGTCACTTTCGGCATTACATTTCTCTCATCCACCTCTTCTTCATCCTCATCCTCATCCACATCCCAACTCAGATCCTCCTCTTCTTCCCTAGAAATCGCTCTCTTAACAAGCTTAATCCTCGCATCCTCGGCTTGCTTAAGCCTACAAACCTTATAAAAATACCTACACCAAAACGTCTCATGATCAACCCCATTCGAAACACCAACAACCCTTTTATAAACACTCTCCATCTCCCCATTCTCTTCCATCAATCTCTCAATCTCTTCTTCCTTATCTCTCAAATCAAACCCAGCTTTCCACTTCTTATAATACTCCAAATCCTCCGGCTCTTCAATATAAGTATTAATATCTCCTTGAATTGCCCTTGCTTGAGCATCGAACCGACTGTACCGATTCGAGTTCAAGCTCCGTTGAGCAATCTGACTTTTGTCCTTGCTCTCGGAGGAAGGGGAATCGGATTCGTTATCGGCAACTAATATTGCTTCCTTGCCTTGATTAATGATCTGAGTCGTTCCCTTTATGACCGTATTCCCGAACTCATCAATGACTTGCCCTACGTTCCCTAACGAGCCCTGAGCTACCTCGATTTCCTTTTTGAGACCCACCCCGAATTCTTCGAGGTCGCGACGGTAGGTTTCGATCACGGATTCGGATCTGGTTGCTATCGTTTTGAACAGACCGCCGAAGCTCCACCCGCTAGCGTTAGGATCGGGATCAGACAGTTTGGGAGAGGAATCGGGGGTGGAGTATTCGGCTCTGAGAGTATCGGATTCCGGTTGGAGTTGGGGTTTAGTGGGATCTGGATCGTCGGCGAAAACTGATTTGAAGAAATCCATGATTAAAATTTAGGGTTCTCTGAGTTAAGAATTGACGGAGATTTGGACGGATTATTCTGAATTTCTGATACGATAATGAAACGAAGGGTGTGCATCTGCAGAGGGTGGAATGGAAGGTCTACTTCTTGTTGGTCTATACGGTGAACCAGACCGGTTCAATTCTAGACACATTGTGTCTTTGGGCTGCGGCTCTTGTCGTCCACTTATTTGCTTATAATAAAAGGTCCAATCCTGATTTTAATCCCTTTACTATGTTATTAATATATTTATTGGCTGTCCCTTTTTCCCATATATAATAGGGTAAGGGTAGGTCAACACCAGGTTGAGAGCAGTTTCCGTAGAAGACCTCCTAATTATGAAATGCCCTCAATGAGACTCAATTCCATGATCTCAAGATTAAGAACCTTGTGCTCTACCAACTGAGTTGGATAGACATCTCTTATTAGTATATTTATTGATAGAACTAAATGAATTATAATTACTATTGGTTGTTTATCACTTTTAGTTTAGATAGATAATTATAGTTAATGAAAATATAATCATTGATTGGTATCAAAATGCTCCAACTTTATAAAGATGTAGAGCATAGAAAAATTTAGGTGAGAATTTTATTAATGTCACATTTCTTCTCTCACTTTGAGATATTAGATAGATTTTATAGAGGTTTTTACTGTACATTTCAGTCATGAGATTATAATGACTACCCGTGGTTTGATAAGTTGGATAAACAAAATTAAGTAATAGAAAATTTAATTTTAGTAGGTCACATGGGTTCAATTCTAGTAGGTAACATGGGTTTGTCAAAGATCATTACGACTAGTCGTGATTTCTCGATAAATGTTTGGTATTCGAAGTATTTATGCCAAATATACCTTTCCATGTCTTTCAGAATTCCCATGATATCGAAGATTCAAAGATATTTTAAGATCTTCCAATAAACACGAGATGCGATGATATGCGGAAGAGCTTTGACGGGATGTAACAAATTTCATAAAATTATTAATTACGCTTTCATCTAAAAGACGATATAGAATAATTTTTTAGATTAACCTTAAACATTTAACTAACATATATAAATATTATCGGTTAAACATTATTGATCGAGTTCTCAAGTGACTCTATCTGTATAACCGAATAATTCTAAAGAAATATATTCTATATCATTACTTTAACAAAAAAAACTAGTACGGTTATCAAATTGGACTTACTAATAACATCTTAAAAATAAAAGGGCCAAGGCATTGTCTATGAAGTTCTTCGAAAATTAAAGCTCATCGTGTCGAGGTTCTTGAAAGCACTGCTCATCCCAAACGAAGGGGAACTTCAACTTTGCTGCAGTGTGAGGCATGGACCAATCTTCATATATGAACCTAAGTGCAAAGTTGAAACAAAAAGAAAGAAAACATCCTCAGAATTCATGGAAGAGAGAAAAAAAGGGGAAGAACCACAAGGAATGCATTTTCAATGCATAAAAGGAAATTCGTTGGAACGACACAGCTTTCGACTTAAACGATGAACTATCTTACCCAGAAATGCTCGCTAGAATCACAAGGAATGCATTTTCAATGCATAAGGAAATTCGTCGGAACGACACAGCTTTCGACTTAAACGATGAACTATCTTACCCAGAAATGTTCGCTACATTCTATTTAGTATACGGTAACTTAAGCAACATCTTTGATTATGCAGGAGACATCATAAGCATGAAACAGCAATCGTGATGTATATATGCTAATATAGTCATTTACTCTTTAAGTTCTTAAACAATCAATGATGCACACGTTCGGAGAAAGAAATGTGGATCGTGTTTTAATATACCAATCTATCTACCAGATTTCCAAGAAAAAACTATGGCACTTCAAAAGAAATATCGATGATCTTCGGTTTAAGCTTCCCAACAAATCCTGCCACTCCTCCCTTTCATAGACTTGCTTTGGTGTTCGTTCCATCCGTATATTCGTCTTCCTTATTGGCCGTATTATTCTCCCCGGGCAAGAGAGGTTCACTTACCTCTTAACGAATACCGTGGTTACCTCTCTCTATATCCTCTTTGATGGCCATTGTCACCTTCAGTTCTGTGTTTCACTTTGTGTAACAAATGGAAATTCGAAGAAGCTTGAAGCAATATATGTTCACTAGGCTTATACGCATACATTACCTGTATCATTTATATTTTTGTTAACAGGTGTTTTCGATACGTATTACCCATGTTTAAAAACATGTTCTGCAGTTTCTCTTTGGTTATCACTTAGACCAACCAAGACAGATGCTTTCAGCATTTGAAGTAAGTTCTTTCCTATTTTCACTGTATTTACTCTTTTTGCTTCATCATTACAATGAAACCTTCTCAGTTCTCTCTCCAATTATGGAGGTTTTGTTTAGTACGATTGAGTACTTTCCATCTTTGAAAATTTACACCGGCAGCTCAAACTCTATCGCGTTTATCACTTGTAGATTTTATGAAGAAATAGTCTAATTCTGATTCTCGTCCTTCTACTTTAACTTTATAATTTGAGCATCATCTATTTTAATCAAAGTTGATAATATCAATAGGTGTTGCCATTGAAGTGAACAGATGGAAATTTTCTTTAAAATAGTCTTAAGCATTATACTGTAGAATTTTTGTTTCTCAAATCCAACCGATAAATCTCTCAAGTTTTTGATCATATCAAAACGAATCTTAATTTTTTTGGTTTTATTAAAGCGTATTATATTGTGCTAACAAATAGAGAGGCTCAACTATTTAAGGTGTAAGTGGAGGAGTTAAATCCTAAATTTTAGTATAGTCTTCATTGTCACCAGCGACCTTTCTAGCTTTGATTAGTCAACTTTTAAGACAATTTGAATTCACGTTCAAGACGGTAGTTTCATGTAAGGATTCACGGTCGATTCTATATTAAAAATACGAATTTTGCATTAAAATTTTAGACAGCGTGAAATTATAAAATTCAATTATTAATAAAAATACAACCATTCTAACATTACTCGTCCATCACTGGTTTCATAGTAATTGTTGGTCAAGCTAAGATAAGTCAAAAACTACCATTTGGCAGTCTTATGAGATTCCGCCACCACAAATTCACATTCAGTCAACAATGTTCAGTAATCGTTAAATTATGGCTGCTGGAACAGCACAGGTACTTATACACAGTGCCGCCCCTGGTAACTACTTTTTTTATTAAAAAAATATATCTGTATTCGAAATCCGAAAGAGGGTGCTATATGAGAATATAATCCCCTCTTTATATATATATATATATATATATATATATATGGAAAGGTTTAAAAAGAAAATATATTCGTGTTAGACGTATATTTATATATACTATTAAAATTTGAATCCGATTAAGATAGCCGTCTACAAGTATATGCAGGTGCACCGTTATCCATTTTCTGTCCAAGCTTACCAGCTGCACCAGTTCTACGTACAATATGTATATACATATTCTAATATAGTAGCTATTAATTATGCAGAAGCAACAGCACATGCAGAAGGCTGCAAATCAGGCGATATGGTCTAGAAATCACGTTCTTGCATTAAACAAATCTCAATTTCTTGCAATTACCTTGTATTCATAAGAACAAAACTCCATGCCACAGGATGGAAAAAACATGACGTGTATATATGTATATGAGGAATTTCCAGAAGAAAAATAAAACAATGAAGCATCATTTGTTGAACAAATCAATTTGATCTTCTTTACAGATGTGGGATGCAATTTTGTGCCCCATATTGAATTCAAATGAATCTAACTTGAACTTGTCCCTTCCACCTTACGGCCTGAATGATGACTACTTTCGTAAACAAATATCTGATAGCCTGAACCTGAGAGTTGACCCTAGCCATTACTGCTTTTCGATCTCTCAATGTCATCGATATGAGCCACTAGAGGGATTGGCCGCTCAGGGATCGTTGGAACCGAAATGTCTGTTTCCAACATTTTCACGACCTGGTCCATTGTTGGCCGGCATTGTAACTCGGGATGCGAACAAAGGACCGCAACCAACACGTATTTCTCAAGAACCTCTGGTGGCCCCAACTCTGGCATGCCGTCTTCGATAACATCCAATGCTCTCTCGGCCTTTACCAATGACCATGCCCAATCAGCCACTAAAGAAGGCTGGTTATCATCATCCATTACTAGCGCCTTCTTTCCACTCAACAGCTCAAGAAGCACTACACCAAAGCTATACACATCGCTTCTCTCTGTCAATTGACCATACAATGCATACTCAGGGGCAACATATCCCATTGTTCCAGCTACTCTGGTGCTCAAATGAGTCATCCCCTCCGGTGTGAACTTTGCGAGTCCGAAATCCGCTACCTTCACCTCGAACTTGTCATCCAAAAGTATATTACTTGCTTTGATATCTCTATGAATGATTGCAGGCTGTGCTCCGTAATGCAAATAAGCCAGTCCCCTAGCTGTCCCGAGTGCAATCTTTAGTCGAATAGGCCAACTGAGTTTCTTTCCCATGGAACCAAACAGATGATCATACAAGCTCCCGTTCTTCATTAAATCACAAACGATTATCCTCTGGTGACCCTCTAACGTGGTGGTGGCCGTACAATATCCTCTCAAAGCAACGAGGTTGACATGCCGAACACTGGCGATTACCTGGACTTCATGCGTGAAATTGGCATCGCCGGCAGCAGAACAGTTCTTGAACCTTTTTAAGGCAACCTCGGAGCCATCGGATAAATAACCTTTGTAGACATTCCCATAGCCTCCTCTTCCAACGATGTTGTCTCTCGAGAAATTCTTAGTAGCTTCCTTGATTTCTTCGAAGGAGAAGTGAATCAAGCTAGTACTTTCACTGATTGAACCCAATCCCGAACCACCCAAGCTACCCATCTCGAGGCTCCTGATTCTCTCTCTTCCTTTCTTCCTCTTGGAAGCCTGGTGCTTTCTATGAGCAAACCAAGACCCACCAATCAAAGCAGCTAAAGCAACACCTACACCAATCAAAACACCCAAAATCAAACCTATTCTGTTACTCCTACGCTTACTGTTGTTGCTAGGACCAATCGAGAACAAACAAGAGGCAGTATCTTCATCAGTTGGTCCGGGGTAATTAGCAAAAGCAGCGGCGTAAATAGACGGGTAGGCCGTGCAGTCCGACACGTTCGCAGTTGAATTGTCGGACAAGTACAGAGCTTGCACATTGGCCAAGCTTCGAGTACAGGAAGCACAAGCCGAACCCTGCAACGACTGGTTACAATTCGAGACGATGCCGGATAAGGTGGCGTTGGGGATCAGAGCTTCGAAGCTGGATTTGGTGGTTAAGTTCAAACAACCTTGGGAGATCCAAGCGGTTTGGAAACCGCAAGAGGAACGCATGTCGAAGTTCCGGTCGAGGGTTTGGTACGTTTGCCAACAGGACTCGGCGGTGTCCAAGGGAGGGAAGAAGGACGAGGTGCGTTTAAGGTAGTCGGAGAGGACGAGGTGGAGGCCCTGGACGACGTAGTGGCACTCCATGGAGGTACTGAGGCGGGGCCTGGGATTGGGGATGAGTGGGCGGAGGATGGTGAAGTTTAAAGGACATGACTGAGCGAGGCATAGTGGGAAGAAAGTTGATACGAAGAAGAATAATAAGAAGAAACTGGACATTTGAGGATGAAAGGGAAACTGTTGCTATAGCTAGAAATTCATTGATTGAGAAATGAAAATGGAAAGGAAGGGAAGTGGGAGTTGTCGAGATGGGGGAGGAGGAGAGTTTTGACTTGTGAAAAATGGATGTTGGAAGGCAAAGGCCGCCTTGCCTGTTTGACTATTTGTCGTGTTAGTTGTAATACTAGATTCGAGAGCGAGTTGGATCACTTGATTTACCATGAGAGAAAAATAATGGTAACAGAACAGAACAGAATAGCGAAGTGCATATCGAAGAGAACTGAAGACGGAGAAAGCGAGCTGGCAAGTGGAACTTTATGCCTTGTGTAATATAATAACATTTCATGATGATGTGGTTGGTTTTGTTTGTATCTGCTCCGACTTGGGTTTCTACATTTTTTTTTGTAAATTCTTATGGAGGTTTAATAATGAAAAAACCTTGATTAAAAAATTAATTACTTTTTATGTATATAAAATTACATTTAATTAAATTTTTATCGATCAAATTCTTTTATTAACATTGATTATTATATTTTAATGACATGATTAACAAGAATCATACAAATATACACTCCATACTTATTTTGAAAGTATTAACTTAATTTAATATGTAACTGCATCTGAATATATATAAAAATGAAAGTTATTAAAATTTCAGGGCCAATTCCCTCCCCCCTCATCATGTTTCGCCATTGCAAAGAACTACGCTGATGAATAGATGGTTCCAGGCCCTCAAACTTTTATGGTATATATAGAAGGCCTTTGTTAGTTTTAAAATACTATCTATATGCTCGGTTACTCTTATTAAATCTTGCTCAAATTCAAGGATAAAATTGGAATAAAATCTTGGAAGAGATAAAATAATAAAAATTTATTGCGTATATCAACTCAGAATTAGGGCCCGACCCATATGGTCCGTCCCTTCTCAGATACCCTAAAAACTCGATACCAACCATTACGAAACTATTTGCCCCATCTACTTAGCCTAGCCTTTTCGAAGATGCAAGGGTTTTGGCCCATTTAGAGAGCATCAAGGACTATATTATATTATATATGAGAAGGATTACAAATATAATCAAATAATTTTAATAATTAGGAGTGATTATAAACTAGTATATGTTATGAAGATTTTTAATTATTTAACAGTGGAATCTTAAACACCTTTATAATCTTTGGTGTTTGAATATGAGGTCTCTAAAAATAACAATCATTTATTTAATTAGTAACGTAAACTCTTAATTTGTATACTTTTATTTTAACCCCTTGACACTAAACTTGCTCCAAGCGTAGGCGTAGGCGACAACTTGCTCCTTTTACGTTGCATGGCATCATTTTATGTCTCTATACGACTTTTAAGTTGATTTTATTTGTATTTTTAGTACTTCAGTTTTTATATCCATTTTCCCAATGAAAACAAAATCAAACGCCATTTTTGAAATAACATCTTTTCTTTTTCAAAAATTAAATATCACATTTCAAACACTTTGAAATATAGTTTCAACTCTAAATAAAAACACATATATTAAATCAATTTTAGGAACGGAATATAGAAATGGATAAAGAGAAAGTAATCGGAAAGCTAATGCCTATCAGCCCTATTATAATACTTCAACTTGCAATCTAAAATATAATAAAAACAATATGCAATCTTCTCATATATATGTCGCTCCATATCATGAATATGGTGTAACAACCGTCTTTTTTAAAAAAAAAAATTATGATTGCTAATTTAAAATAAGTGCAACTTTATAATAATTGGGCGAAATGACTATCTAGCTCAGTTGGTAGAACACAATGTTCTTAATCTTGAGGTCATGGGATTGAGTCTTATGGAGTGCATTTCATAATTTGGAGGTCTCCTACGGAAGCTGCTCTCAACCTAGTGTTGGGGGCAGCCTACTATCTTGCCTCCCTCTTACCCCATAACATATGGGAACAAGGGACATTCATTTTATAATAATTGGGCAATGCAAGGAAGGCTGCAGGCGAAGGCAATCCCCACAAGTTATCGTCGTCTCGTCTCATTACACTTATCAATCTATCACATTAAATTTACTTGTGAAATTAAAAAAAATTAATAATTGTATTATCATGATTAACCTATAATTATTAGTTGTTGAGGGCAAGAGAATAAGCGGTAATCGACAAAGCAAAATCTGATATTAATACTTATCAAATCATCTGTATAACGTAAGGCCCAAATGAGCCACCAACCACAATTGAGAAGAACAATTAGAGCATCACGGTGGACAATTCATAATTCTGACTGTCGGAGATTTTTCACGGAAGTTGCTCTCAACCTGACGTCGGGGACACTTTTAGATATAACCTGGAATTAAATTTTATCTCAAACCTATCAGGTCTTTTACTTGATAAATTATTTAAAATTTTATAAATTTTAAATTTTATAAACGAGGTAATAAAAATGATTATATAAATTTCTAATCTTTCCGGTGGTGATTTAAGACAATTTAGGGAGTTGTAAACATTGACAATTATTTATTATCATTGCACTTAAATAATTCATCGGAAGTGGAATTAAGTTGGTTTAACTAACTCGAGGGACGACGTGTGATTAAAAATGATTTATAAGGTGAAACTTGTAGACTACGTATCAATGAGGTAATAATAATTACAGACCAGATTAATTATTGTTCTTTTTTGTGTGTGTATCTAAAGATAAACTATTGTTTTGGTTACAAAGTATAACGAAATTTAAGATAAACTATTAAAATATGTTTTATTATGATATATTTTATTAATTTTTTATTAAAATTTCATCGTACAATTTATGATTTTGTTACACTCGTACACGCAATATATAAACATGTTAATTTTTTAATCACGATGTAGTTATGTACATAAATGGTCCGTAAGAGAAATACTAAGTCCTTGTTGAATATCATTGACTAGTTACATAAATTTAACATTATGTCCATGCTGAACATCGTGCATTAATTCTTTAACACTAACGTTGATTTTTTTTATGTGTAATATTTTCCATATTTGATTTGTATCGCTAAAGAAATTAAAATTACAATTACTAACCCTACAAGTGCATTTTATCCTTAAGAAAATTTGTGTAATTTAGGATTTTAAACACTTTGACCAAATAAAACGAAAGCTTAGCAATACGATACGCTCATACCATAATCCATCTGTCCAGAAACCCTAACTGAACTGATTTTTGTTTAGATTTTAATTTACTTGTCTAGATTTTAGTGGAAAGATTCAAAATATTATTGCCTTTATAAATCTCTCTCTTTGTCCTTTTTTTTCTAATTACTATTAAATAGATACTCGGTTTTTTAGATAAATATTTCAATATCGAATATTATTTTTAACTTCATAATCCATAGCCATTGAAAACGAGACGGAGTTATTACATGTCACGGCCGAGACAACGTTAAAATTCCACGTGTTTAACTAAGTCACGTTCCACAACTCAAAGGGGGACTCATTGTAGCCGTGCCTGACCAACCGAAGTTTTTCAAAGTACGGATGAGCTTATATTTTCTTTCTTTATTAATATTAATTAAAAGTAAACAAATTATTTAAGCTGAAGTATTATTTAGTTGTGAAGTAAATAATAATAATATTATTTTATGAAGAAGAAATCATTATAAACAATATTGTAGAAGAAGCAAGAGATGATAAAAGCTTAAACTGCAAAAATTTATGTGCTCCCTCTTCTTTCTCTAACAATAACCTATCTCCGAAGAGTTTCCACCTATCCTCAGATGGTATACGCATTGCCTTTGCTTTCTTCGTTTTACTCGTGTTTTCTGGGTTTTCTCACCTTTCTTGTCGTCTCCCCCCCCCCTTATGTTGCTTAGTTTAATGATATTTTATTGGTTTCTCTTTTGTTCTATTACCAATTTACGTCTTGTTTTCTTGAAGTTTCTAACCCGTGATTGTATTTGCAGAGAAACAAAAACGATTTTGCAAGTTAAACGGTTGGGGGAAGACAACCAAAACAGATTACTCTGTTCTTTTCCCCTGTCTTGGTTCCTCTCAATGAACTTTACAAATGGAGAAGAAGGTTGATTCATGTTCTCCCACTGGTGTTCTTGAAGATTTCTTCAAGAGTGAAGATTTTGAAAGGAGCCATTCTTGTAAAGAACCAAATATAGACTCGGCAAACGAGCGAAACTCGAAGCAAGGTTCTCGATGGCGAGGGCTGGCGCAATTATTTAGAACTAAATCGAAGAAATCATTAGCCAATTTGCAGTCTTTTGGATCGTTTAGGCTCTCGTTGAGGAGTAATAGCATGCGAGAAAATGTTGCCGTTGCACCGGATTTTCTGGCCAACGGCAATTCATTTAACGATAGGTCTCCGAGGAAAGTTTTCACTCTCTCCGAGCTTCAAACTGCCACCAAAAACTTCAGCACTGGTCGGTAATTCAATACTTTGTGCTGCTTGAAACTCGACCAAATATGTTGGTTTAATGATTTGTTTTTTCTGCAGAGAATCTTGTCGGAAAGGGTGGTTATGCTGAAGTTTACAAAGGGAGATTACCAAATGGGCAGCTTGTTGCAATTAAAAGGCTAACAAAAGGCACAACCGATGAGATTATAGGGGATTTCTTGTCCGAGCTTGGGATTATGGCTCATGTTAACCATCCCAATACTGCTAAGCTAATTGGCTATGGAATTGAAGGCGGTATGCATCTTGTCCTTGACTTGTCTCCCAATGGGAGCTTAGCCTCTCTTCTTTACGGTGAGTTCATTATATCGAAAATTGCTTGGTTATGAACATCAAACGAATCGATCCGAATATGAATGTCCTTTACGTATTGATTTCGTACAGGTTCGAAGGAAAAACTGACATGGGATATTAGGTTTAAGATTGCACTAGGGACAGCTGAAGGTTTAAGGTACCTTCATGAAGGTTGTAAGAGGAGAATCATCCATAGAGATATAAAGGCTGCAAATATTTTGCTTACAAAGGACTTTGATCCTCAGGTACCCTTCAAACAAAACCCTGAAATGTGAACAGTTTACTACGGTTTTCATATTATTAGTAACAAATTCGGTGACAGATTTGTGATTTCGGGCTCGCGAAATGGCTACCGGAACAATGGACTCACCGCACATTTTCCGAGTTCGAAGGCACATTTGGGTTCGAAACTTGTATAACCTGAAACTATACTTCTTTACAGTTATCAGTTGGGGAATCTACAATTAAGCCGATTCCCTTTATTGCTTTCTTTTTGCAGCTACCTGGCTCCTGAGTATTTAATGCACGGCATAGTCGACGAGAAAACCGATGTTTTCGCCTTTGGTGTATTGTTGCTGGAACTCGTCACTGGTCGCAGAGCTTTGGATTACTCTCGGCAGAGCCTTGTATTATGGGTACGCCACTAGAAACACATCATGATCTGACTCGATGACTCTCTATGTATGCAAGTGTAGCTTATGCTTTTTTATTGGCAGGCAAAACCTTTGCTGAAGAACAACAACGTTAGAGAGCTGATCGATCCTGCTCTTGGAGAAAATTACAATGTCCGCCAAGTGAACATCGTCCTCTTGGCGGCAACGATGTGCATACATCAGTCTTCGATACGGCGCCCACAAATGAGTCAGGTATGATATAGTGTTACGACCCAAGTCAGCTCGTTGGACCATAACCTTCTTCAGTTTTTCTTTTAACAATTGATTCTTAATATGTGCGTGCAGGTTATACAGCTCCTTAATGGCAACCCCAACAGCTTAATGAGCAAGAGAAAACGTCGGGTCCCGTTCTTTACAAAAGCTTTCCATGAAGAGATTTAGAATGGAGAAGATCGAACCTTTAGAAACAAGTTGTGCATGCAATAAAAATGAAGTTCAACGGGGACAAAAGGATCGACGTTGTTTTCTCGTAATTTTAAAAAAAGTGGAACCGAACAGGGTGGGAAGAATTCCGAGGAGGCGAAAGTGAAGAATGGCAGTGTCTTTGGGACATAGTAGACACGTACAGAAGGAAAGGAGACAAAAGTAAAGGATATCCCATGGTTTAGTCAATTTTGGTCGGATAAATACATGAAAGAGCCAATGTCTTTTCTTTTTCTAATTTATTTTTTTAGAGCAAGTTATGATAAAAGTCCTGAAGGATCAGTATATATATATTTTCAATGAGGCTGCCTATTAAATTATCATGTGTTTGTTTATTATTGACCCATGGCGGCGAGTAATTCCGTTGACCACCGTGATCCTACTTACCTTTCCTCGTCAATCCTTATCGTCATTAAATGAAATGGTATCGTATCTACACTGAATGCAATTAATTAGATTTTTTCCCCTAAGAGATCCTTAAGGAGGTTGTATTGCGTAATTCATATCTACATTGATGAGGGTATTGAATACTACTCTTATATTTGATGTCCTGTATTAACTATCAATGAATTATATTTAAAATAATAATATCACATAGTTTATTATCAGTTTATATAAGTTTGAAAAATAGTATTTTGTTTATTATTTTTGTAGTATAATAGTAATAAATAATATTGCTTTTGTTCTAATTCACATTAAATTTTAGAATTGATTCTAAATAATTCTTTTATAAAATAAATATTTTTTATAAACTTTGATACATTAAAAAATTAGTTAATTATTACAAAAATTAAAAATGCATTTTATAAAACTCGGTAACAAACATTCATAACCAACCCGACAGAGCCTAAAACGAGATGAGAGCAGGACATTTATCCAACAGGCCCAATGCAAAGACAAACTTTAGTAAACCATCAGCAAATAAAAACAGCCCGACAACCGACATCACGTCAAAAGACAAAAGTCACAGTGTTCATTATTTTAATTTTAAATTTCTTTTTCAGGCTTTTTTGCGTGTTGTGATCCAGAAGGCAAAAACCACACCGCCAAGTCCACATCAGTGAAACCAAAACTTAACCTCCAATTTCACCCTTAATCTCAGGCATAAATAAGATTATGATTATGTAAAAGTGACAAGAAATTGATTGGATAAATAGATTTTATATAGTAAAGAGGATAGAGAGGAAATAAGCTTTTTTCCCTTGGAGTCAAAGCATAAACAAGCCGGTTTTTTGTGTGGCGATCAGGAGAATTGGATGTTATATCCGATCGTCGGAGATCGGAGATGTTACTTACCGGAGGTGAATGTTGAGGAAGGCCGTTGTGATGCTGGTGGTGAAGGTGGCGGAGGAGGAGGAGGAGAAGAAAAATAGGTGGCGGTGGTGCTTGAGAGTAGTTTCAGTACGAGTAAGGACGTGGTTATAGTTGGAGGATGAGGAAAGGGAAAGGAAGGAACAATGGCTTGCTTCCGAATTCGTTAAGGATTATTTCGTCTTGTTTGAAGACTGTTTCCACGAATGCTAGTAACGTCGCTTCCACGGTTCGTTCCGCTGGTGCTTCCGTCGCTGCATCCATTTCCACTTCTTCTGAAGATCCCAAGGATCAGGTTTCACTTTACATTTCAGAATCGGTCGTTTACATTTGTTTGTCTGGTTGCTTTCTTTCATCTTTTGAAAACTTTTAGTTTACTCAGTAGAGTTGTCTAGCGTAAGTAATGAATTAATGGTGATTTAAAGCTTAATTGTTCTCATCACTCGCTATCATTACTCGTCGATAACCATTTAGCTCAGTGTTGTCTAGGGTGCAAGGTGAACTTTAGGCGCTTTAACTATTATATTGCCTAAGGTGTAAGGCACAAAAAAATCTCTCTAGTATAGTGAGGTGCAAGGAATGGAATCTATTTGGTTTAGCTTTAAATCATTGTTAAATATTCTTTGACCTGCTCTCTGTGCCTTGGTGTAAATTTTGTAAATTTTAGTTCAGTTTCATAATTCTGTTGGATTTTTTAGGTGCTTCAAATGCTTCCGTTATTTTACATGAACAGGTGACATGGGCTGGCTTTGACAGGTTGGAACTTGGTCCGTCTCACATCAAGCATGTTCTCTTACTTGGTTACCAGAATGGATTTCAAGTCTTTGATGTGGAGGATGCCTCTAGTTACAGTGAACTAGTTTCAAAGCGCGGTGGTCCAGTTTCATTCTTACAGATGCAGCCTTGCCCTCTGAGTTCAGATGGACGAGAAGGATTCAGGTCATCACATCCTATGCTATTGGTCGTTGCTGATTATGAAACCAATAGTTCAAGCTTGGGTCAGAATGCTGGCCATTCAGTTGGGGTGGCCCGAGATTGTTGTATGGAGTCACAGTTAGGAAACTCTGTCAGCTCACCTACAGCAGTTCGATTTTACTCTCTTCGGTCTCACTGTTATGTGCATGTGCTGAGATTTAGATCATCCGTTTGCATGATTAGATGCAGTTCCCGGATTGTAGCTGTAGGTCTTGCAACACAGGTAAGTGCTGGCTGATACAAACAGTACATTAGTTTGCTGAAATATGAAGTCATTTTGCATGTCGGGGGTTTCAAGGTGTAGATTAAAGTACTCAGTGTTGTTGCTTCTTTATTTTATGATAAAGACTTGTCAGTAAAGTAGGTTTTTCTTCTAACCTATGTCTTTTTTCTTTCTAAGTTTTGTTATAGTTGCTTGTCAGTGATCTCAGTCTGTAATTTCTCTTAGTTTCTTGTATTGCTTTAACTAGTGATGCAAGTAATCTGTCAGTCGAAAGGTAGTAGGCTGATCAACTCTCCTGATATACACCAATCGAAGGCAATGCAAAATTACGAAGATTGTGCACTACCCTTATTCTAATTTATTCTTTGTGCTGCATATATCATAACCAACTCTTCTTGTATTGTTGCAGATATATTGTTTTGATGCCCTCACTCTCGAGAATAAGTTTAGTGTCCTCACCTATCCTACTCCCCAGTTTTCAGGACAAGGGGCCTTTGGGGTTAATGTTGGTTTTGGTCCAATGGCTGTGGGACCAAGGTGGTTAGCATATGCTTCCAATAATCCACTGTTGTCTAACACTGACCGGTTAAGCCCACAAAAGCTTACCCCTTCTCCTGGTGCGAGTCCATCAACACCCCCAGGTGGAAGTAGTTTGGTTGCTCGTTATGCAATGGAATCTACTAAGCATTTGGCAACGGGGCTAATCAACGTGGGAGATATGGGATACAGGACTTTATCCAAGTGTTGTCAAGAGCTACTTCCTGACGGCTCAAATTCTCCCGTGTCACAAAATTCAGTTTGGAAAGTTGGAAGACTGGCAGGAGCTGATATTGACCTTGCAGGAATGGTTAGTTTTATGCTTTTGTGTAGAGTTCATTTCTATTTTGATAAAAATTTTCTTTTCTCTACCTTAGAGATAAAAGTATATGTGTTTTAAAATGACTGAAATTATATCATAATTAGATTTGAGAGGATGCATTAGTGACTGTGCTGTCTTCTTTATATGCTAGTAAGAGAGTATATTTTGCATGATAGATGAGATTTGAAGTATCCAATTACTGACACTTATGGTTTAAATGGTTGATTTTGTAGGTTGTCGTAAAAGATTTTGTTTCTCGAGATGTTATATCTCAATTTAAAGCTCATACAAGCTCAATCTCTGCACTAAGTTTTGACCCTAGTGGGACCCTTCTGGTCACCGCATCAGTATATGGAAATAACATAAAGATCTTCAGGATTATGCCATTGTATGTGCGTTCTGGATCAGGTGTTCAAGGGCATGACTGGAGCTCTTCTTACGTGCATCTTTACAAGCTACATCGTGGAATAACATCAGCTGTTAGTACAAATTTAGTTTCAATATATATCTTATTTTCTATGTTCCTCTTGCAGATTGCATATTAATATTACTGTTTTTTTTTTTAAAAAAAAAAAACGTTTAATTTAACAGATGATTCAAGATATTTGCTTTAGTCAGTATAGTCAGTGGGTTGCAATTGTTTCATCCAAGGGGACTTGCCATATCTTTGTCTTATCCCCTTTTGGAGGTGATACAGGATTTCAAACACTCAGTTCTCAGGGTGAAGAGCCTTCTCTTTCTCCAGTTTTATCCCTTCCATGGTGGTCTACCTCGTTTTGTGTCGCTAATCAGCAATCTTTCCCACCCCCACTACCTGTTGCGCTTTCTGTTGTCAGCAGGATAAAATACAGTAGTTTTGGATGGCTTAGTACACTTAGCAATGCTGCGAATACTGCAACAGGGAAGATTTTTGTGCCATCTGGTGCTGTTGCGGCTGTTTTCCATAATTCTATATCACTCGCTGCTCAACATGTTGACCAAAGAACTACTTCCTTGAAACATCTTCTAGTTTATACTCCATCCGGTCATGTAGTTCAACATGAGCTTCTCCCGTCAATTGGGGCAGATTCAGGTGCTAGTAATTTACGAGTTCAGACAACTTCATATGCACATGTACGAGAGGATGACTTGACGGTGAAAGTTGAACCTGTTCAGTGGTGGGACGTATGTAGGAGGTCAGATTGGCCAGAAAGAGAGGAATGTATTTCTAAGGCTACTGTTGAGAGACAAGATGCTGCTGAAGGTGTTGAAAGTAAATCAGTGAATGAGGAATTCAGCATGGATTCTCTGGAAATTAATGATAACGGAGAAAAGAATACAAAACCATTTCCGACAAAACCCCACGATAGCTTCCACTGGTACCTCTCCAATGCAGAGGTGCAAGTGAACTCCTGGAGGTTACCAATTTGGCAAAAGACTAAGGTAGTTCATGTTTTTAAAATTCTCCCCATAATTGGTGCAATACCTCAGTTGAGTTTCATTATTACAGATTTCTTTCTACATGATGGATTCTCCGGGAGCCAATGGTTGTAAAGGTGGTGAGTTCGAAATTGAGCTGATCCCAGTTCATGAAGTTGAAATAAAAAAAAGCAAGGAACTATTACCTGTTTTTGATAGTCTCCATCGTAGCAGATCTAGCTGGAATGACAGGTGATTGCCTTTCCATTCTTGGTTTTTTGTAGCTCTACCGATATTTGAACTCTGAATTTGATGATACCCTTGCTTAATCTTTCTGGTTATTGTTGATTCTATGTGAATTGTTTTATTCTGCCTGATGATTCACGGAAAATGTAGCTGAAATGTTTTGATATCGCTGAATTGAATCTACCGGAAAATTTTCTTGTACAAAATATTGGGACATTATTTTGTACTCAATTGGAGGAGAAAAATGTTCTGGCAAAATATTGCCTATTTTTAAGGATTTAAGTTCAATACTTGTTTGATGTTTCCAACAAGTTCCAGATGCATCGATTGAAGCCAAAAAGTCGTTAATGTGCATGTTTGTTACTAAGGTTGTGCTTGGAATCTCCTAAGAACCTACTTGGTTGTTCCATATAGGTGTTTTTCTGTTGGGAAATATCCTCTGTCCTCGTCTCCTGATCGTCATCAAGGTGAATATAAAGCCTCACAAGAGGTTATTATTTGTCATTCAAAGCCAGCGTCGCTTAGCTCGAATGAAAGTTCCGGAGGTAAGCCTATGAGATTTCTCAAAAGCAATATCTGTTTTGCTACCAAAATGCCCTTGCCTATAAAATCACATCATTTGATGATTACGATTCCCGTCAGGTTCATCAAGGAGACTGGATAATCTACTTGATTTTGATCAGATTAACTGCGACAAGCCTTATCCACCCACTTACCAGGGTCTGAATGGAATTTGCCATGGAAAAGATGGGAATGGCTTCATTGAGCCGTTGGTACTGAATCAGGAGTCTTTGACTGTCGATTCTACTCCATTTCAGCACTTAGAGAATATATACTCCAATACTGGTTGCTCTATGACGAGCGATTTTTCCTCTTCAGAGAGTAAGTTGCCTCCTTTAAGAAGTAAAGCAGATGGAATGCCGTCTTTCAATGCCTCAATATTGCATGTAGACCATTATGATGCGCCTAGAAACATTCTGGCGGATTAGTCGTCATTTTCTGCAAAACAGATTAAAGTTTATTTCGGGTATCTCCAGGAAGAGCACTATGATATCTTACAGCACAGTAAAAGCGGCAAGTTATTTGTACATGCCAATGATGACGTCGACAGTGGCAGCAACCACTATGGGAAGGAAAAACTGGAGGAGGATGGGGGGAAATGATGAAATGCTTGATGGCATGTTTGTGTTCTAAGAAGGTAGAAACCTGATTGCTCAAACAAATTCGGCTTTTATCAATAATCATCCCGTTTTGTCCTACCTTTTTCTGAAACTAAATTCTCTTTGCTTTACATGGTAGGGGTTTTTTTGGCAGGTTGAACCGGATTCATCAGTTGCAGTATTTGTTCAAGCCGCTGTGAAAAGCTGAGGCGAAGGTATGTTTTCCGATCCAAAATGCATTGCACCCTGTAAATAGGGGGGACCAATGATGGTTGTACTGTTTGCGATCGATGCTTAAAGTGTAGCAAGAGCATGCACTCATCTTTCTTTTAGTTGGCACTGCCTAAAATATGGAGTAATGGACTTGGGACACAAAGGGGTCTGACTCAACACATTCAATAGTTAAGTGCTATTTGGAACGCAAAGCACATAAAGTAACGTTGTGTAAAATGGAACAAAGGACACACGAAATGCGAATGGAGCAACCGTTTACCCCCCTGAACCTGCCCCTAATAAAGCAACCAAAAAACCAAGAACAGTAAAAGAACAATAATAATGATGAAAAACTAATATAATAATAATAATTAAAAGCCAAAAAAAGACATTACATTCATCGGTGTTAGAATTAGAAAGTACGCCGTCAACGCTGTCCTATTCATCTTCTCTAAGAAGTCGTTATCAATAAGCTCAAATATCATCCACCAAGGACAACCACGGCTTCTTCTTCAAGCCGGTCTTTGTTTCTTCGTTATGTATTAATATAATCTTCTATGCTGATAGTTTCGCCATTAAAGGCTTTCACATGAAACCGGTAGTTTTCTCTCATGACAAAGCTTCATTTGCCTACTCAAAAGCCTTCCCTTTTCGGGTCTACTTTGATCCATCGATTGAATGACTAAACAAGGGAGAATGCATGTGGGCTCTTAGGATCTGTTTTTGGTTGCTCTGTCTCAATGTGGATTCCTGGGTTTTGCGATTTTAGACCCGGTTGATTTTTTAGCTTTACAGTCCATTAGAAAGTCTCTCCATGACTTGTCTGGCTCTAATTTCTCGGCTTCCTGGGATTTTACTTCCGATCCTTGTAACTTCGCCGACGTTTACTGTGAGTCAAACAAAAGTAGTGGCTATTAATCTGGGTGATCCACGTTCTGGTTCGCCGGGTTTAACCGGAAGGATAGATTCGGTCATCGGGAAACTATCTGCTCTCGTAGAGTTATCCATTGTTCCTGGTCGGATCTATGGGCAACGACCGGTGTCAATCTCGCAGTTGAAGGGTCTTCGTTTTCTTGCGATAAGCTGGAATTTCATCACCGGGAATTTTCCAGCGACTCTGGGACAACTGAGGAGGATTAAAACTTGATCTCAGCTACAATAAGCTCACCGGAGGAATCCCTGGCTCCATCGGAACATTGCCTGAGTTCACCAACATAATTCTTTGTCACAACCATCTCACCGGCTCCGTTCCAGCGTTTCGTTCCCGAGTCCTAACCCGGCTGGACCTCAAACACAATGCTCTCTCCGGCTCGCTCGCTCCGAACTCCCTCCCTGCTTCCCTTCAGTCCATTTCCCTCTCATGCAACCAGCTGACCGGACCGGTAGACAAGCTTCTATCCCGGCTCAACAAGTTAAACTATCTAGACTTAAGCTTGAACCAATTCACAGGACCCATCCCGGGCCGTTTGTTCTCGTTTTCAATCACGAACCTTCAGCTGGAAAGGAACTTGTTTTCCGGCCCAGTCCAACCAGCCAAACAAGTGACGATACCGACCGTCGATCTGAGCCACAACAGATTGTCGGGCTACATATCACCAATGCTCTCGACCTTACAGAATCTTTACTTGAACAACAACCAGTTCACCGGCAAGGTCCCGGCTAGCTTCGTGGGCCGGTTATTATCGGCCAGCATACGAATACTTTATTTGCATCATAACTACTTGACCGGAATCGAGATTAATCGGATGGAGGAGATTCCTCTGAATAGTTCGGTATGCCTACAGTATAATTGCATGGTGCCTCCCGTTCAGATAGCGTGCCCGTTGAAGGTGGGTAAAGAGAAAACCAGGCCTGCTGCCCGGTGCAATGAATGAAAAGGATAGATTTGGTAATTTCGACAGTATTGTAGAGGATACCTTTGGGAAAAAACTGAAATTTTTAGGATACAATTGATATTTCGTGGGTGAAAATTAGTGAGTTTATTGTGGTTAATACCTTAGGATACAATTTATTCTGTGGTCTATTATGTACTTAATCAGTCGGTAGTCACAATTCCGGGGACAAGTATTGTTTGAGATGGACGAGACCTGATGAGTTAGGTGGGTGGTTTTAGTTCAAATTAATTCTGAATTAGAATTATTTTTAGTTTTTTTTTTAATTAATTCCGAGCCAGTGAAATAATTCAAAGGTTATACGACAATAAATTTAGCTATTACTAATCTATAAATAGAAGTGATCCTAGTACTTGTCCTTCTCATAACGAAAACCGACCGACCCGTCTCTTTCACACATGGAAAACAAGAAAAGTGATTAGGTTTGACTGGGACTGGATGTAACATTGTAATAATATTACAGTTTCCGGGAACATGGAGATCAGCAAACGTTAGCACCCAAAACTCAAACTTTAACCTATTTATTTATCACAACAGTTAAAGGACCACACATGCTCTCATGTTATTAATTTTAACCCATTTATTTTGCCGGTTTATAGCGTTACATTTTACTGTGATTCGGGCCAAATGAGACCTGAAATTCTTGTAATTTGCCACTTAGCTCATCTCATGTGCATGATAATCTAACAAATCAAAGACAGAAGTACACCGTAAAAGATTATGGTATATTAGGTAGATGCCGGACCATCACACTTACCCATGCAAGACATCTGATAAAGAAAAAGACAATGACACAGTGCCAAGAGTGAAATTTTGGGTATTTATGGACTGTGGGAGTAGTTGCTGATTATTTTTGCCATAATAGATGATCTTTTTCCCTAGTAATTATTAATTATGGCGTTTTGGGCCTGGGGTGCAATTATTAAGTGTAAATAGGTCTTTTGATTATGTTATTATCCATCAATCCGCCTAAGTAGGGACCCTTATGTCTTACATCTTCCTTTATCATTTTAGGGTCTCATTTTGATAATTTTTGCGGGTAATAAAAACACTAAAATAAAATTTTGGATAAACTATTTTATTGGTCCCCAAATTATTATTGCTTTGTTAATTTGGACGATTTTAGGGGCCCTTATGTCTTACATATGTTAAGCTGGACAATTTTAACCGAAGTGAATCCTAGAAGTTTAGAACGATCTGAACCATTTTTTTTAACTTGTATTGTATGCAGAGTGAGTATTGCGTATATGGTGTTTCTACATTGGAGGGCGGAGGGCTGACTTTAGCTTATACATCCAACAAAATAAACTACGATGCTGAAGTTATGTATTTAATTTTACATTTTATACATGGAACTGTTGTTAAACAATTACACCTTATTCAATAATAATGTAAAATATGCCAGACCTGCTACTTAAAACACATGCAGATACAGTTAACGATCTTGTGTATGTAGCATGATTATAGCGTACATGTTTCACGAATCACCTTCAATAGTATTATTGGCTCCGGACTCTCTTCTTGTTCGTAGGGGAGGGTGTTTCTCCGTTGCGGGGAATTCCCACTTAACCACGTCCCCGTCCCATGAAGAGCTGACCAGCATAGGGTAGTAAGGGTGCCAACTACAGTCTCTTACTGGCGATGTATGGTGCTTTAGCACTGCAACTTGAGCTCCGGTTACCTGTAAGGCATAACCGTGTTATTACCATCTGTAAAAGTGAATTTGGTTGCGTAGCATAGGCCAGAAGTGTTTGGTATTCAGCAATGACTTATTGCATTATGCTGCAGTCTCTAATTAGCACTCATTTCAGTATATAATCATTCACTGCGTCTGCATGTTGCCTTTATCTGACGGCAATCGACATTTTTGTAACATACACAACCGCAAATTGAGTCCAACAAAAAGCATATCAACTTTTGGTTACTTACCACGTCATAAATATAAACCTGAGAATCGTGTGACCCGGTGTAAATGTACCGTTGTCCCGTACTGCAACAAAAGAATCGAAAAATCGGTGACAATGTCATTTGACTAATATCAAGCAAACAACCAATAAGAGTACTCGCCTGTATTTGGGGGAAAAATAACAGCGAATAAGAGTTCGCAAGACCGAGTGACCCTTATAAGTAGCCACAGATTGGTCACAGGGGTGTTTCAAATCTCTAGCCTTTGGTGGGTAGTCCATCCATCTGTAATCCCATTCATGATTCCTAAACTCTAAATTGCTGCAAGAACATAAGAAAATAAATGTCTTCAACTTTAACTTCAAACTATTGCCAAAATCCGAATCGGTTAAATAGCATGCACTCATGACTTGTGCATGCGGAGAAAAATCTAAACCACGCACATTGGAAGCCAAAAGAAAAGGCATACCAAGAGGTATCGGAGGACATTTTTCTGATATCCCAAAGCTTTATAGTCTGATCTTTACCATTTGATATGAAATAACGACCATCTCCACGACTGTCGACAAATGTAATACCTTCTAGATGTCCCATCAAGACTCCTGCTGGCTTATCTTTTGCAATGAAGCAACGTCTATCCCACACCTAAACAAAATCAAAACGTTATCGTCTTTTACTTAATCAAAAGTGAAAACACAGCATCTCTACATCCCAGCTTTCTGTAACGTGTTCTCGAATTTACCTTACAGAGATTATCATCACTCCCGGAATATATCAAGTTGCCACTTTCATCGGCAAAGGTTACCGTGTTAACATCAGCCTGCAAGATGAAAAACAAATGAACTTTAGGTCCCCTGAAATTAGAGATCCAAATAAGGAAAGGAATCACCGCATTACACGACATTAGAGTGGGAAGCAAGGTAAAGCAACAATCCAAATATAAAGCACATTATAGCTAGTGAGTGATTTGCAAAAAATACCTTTGTTGAAAAAAAATAAAGCAACGTCTATCATATTTTATTATTATTTCACACATTCAAGTTAGTTCGTGACAAAGAATTCAATTATAAACAGCCGCAAAATAATTTTGAAAGGACAAGCTTATCCTATTGAGAATACACGAGCAGTGAACTAACAGTGTGTGCCACAATTCGAAGGGAAAGCTTGTTTGCTTCAAGATCATAAACATATATTGAGTCGTCACTGCTTCCAGCTACAAGTTCTCGTCCATCGGTTGAAAATTTCACAGAGAATATTCCGAAAGAATATCCTCTATATTCATCAGAAATGAAGTCCAATCCTTCATGGATCTCCTGATAAACATTAGAACTCCAAAAGTGAGAACAACAAGATTGTTGGGAAAACTAATGCTTCGATGAATATACTAGACATCCATGATCAAAATATTTCATGTTGTTCTACTTCAAACCACAAATGCTTACCCTAAAAATACGATCCTTCTAGTTACTCTATAGGTGACAAAGGATTACAAAGGAAAGCATTTTACCGTGACGTTTGCATGGGATTCTATGGTAGCAGACCCGACATTAACAATATGAACTATAGGTGATATGCTGGTATAAACCTGAAATAAAGGAATATAGATTTGATTAAGATATCTGCAAAAAATAAAGCCGACAGATAACCAGACAAAGCAGGCATTGACGGGTACATATACAGATATGCAGACAAATCTATTACGTGGATTACAAGCTCAGTGTAGGCAGTGGATTTCTCTAGCCTTCTGCACAAGTTCATGAAACAACATCCTATATTTGTTCCTTTTTAGAACACAAAACAAGGATCGGGACATCAGAGACTAAAGTTTTATCTGGTATTGTTTTCTCATGCCCCATAGAGAGAGAGACCACAACATCCTAAATGATACACTAATATGTTTAGCACTCAGAAGCTACCCGCTTTGACCAATCACTGTGAACCCTTGTTTGTAAAAAAAGCTGAAGTGCTAGTAGAATATATAAAAGCTTAAGAAAATGGGGATGCAAATTGGGATTTTATTGATTCGGTGCTTGAAATGCACTATCTTAGCCACAATGTTCTCCGCGGAAGATATCAAATATAGTAGTTTTCGAAAAGTTCTAGTTCACAGGAAAAAAGACACTTGGACAAGTTAAAATCAGATAGGGAGAGTTTATTTCAGCAATATATTCCCTTAGCATCAGAAATTGTGCTTAGAATAATGAGTAAAAGAAACTCGGTTGAAATTAAACACATCTAGTCCGAACTCACGAGATGGCGCTGATCAGGAGAAAGGGATGTATCGGTTACTGTCCAACGCAAACTTTTAGCAAGAATGTTCTTCTGAACTTTCCAACCTTTATCTACGTCGTATATTCGAATATTGCTTCCCTGGAACCATACATTCGCAATCAAATTAAATCAAATCTGTTACTACCTATAATCCGATCAATTCAATATCAAGTCAATCTCACTAGGATATAAGGCAATGACCAGATACCTGAAATCCAGCAACAAACAGAGAACCATCGGCTGAAAATTGAGAAACATAGGCCCGGCTGGTCGTTTGGTCCACAAGCCAAGGACCGTGTACTGGCAAATACCTGCTAAGCATGTGACAACAATCTGCCGATGAGAATCTTCCTCTTCCTGAAAAATTACCTTCTCGACCTGCCAGCATCCTCACCGGTGAAACAGGTAATTGCTGCTTTCCAGGCATGAATTGACACAGTCCACCAGGAGGCCCTGAACTGATGTTCGTAAGCTGAGCAATCTCGTCATCTACTTTACGCAATGGTTCGTCGGTCCTATTACTGCTACCAGCTTCGGTAATGTCATTACCATCATCAAACAAATCAGATTCTGTATCCAGCCTACTCATGGCGTACCCCATATCATCAACGGCAATCCCACCGGCTGTAACAAACATTAATTCAATATAAACTCACTTCAGATATTTTCTTATGAACAATGCATACACATATCTTCTAGCCCTTCATACCAAAGTACATAATTTGGGTTCTTAACAGGTCAAACCTGAAAGAAAGAAAAAGAAGAAACAAGTTGAAATAGGGTATATGAAGATTTTTGAAATGCCAAGAACAAAACATGGAATTCTAATAGACAGAACTCATGATCAATAGTCAAGCACACAGTTTGACCAATGTTAAGTGCCTTTTCATTATCCAGAAAATATGAAAGAAACCCAAAACAATGAATAATTTTAGCTTTTTAATTAGCTAAAAATCACATGTAATCTAGTTTACCGCCATAAATTTAGTGATGATCATGAAAGTTTAAACCAAACCCAGTTCCAAAAACAAGCCAAAAGTTAAACTTTCTTCCTCGGTTACTTGGAATATGTTACAGTTACCACTCAGTCAGACTTACAAAACAAAGATTAAATTGTGAAATAAAAAAAAATCCAATCTTACTTTGAACACGACAACAACAAACAAGAACTGGATACTAAATGAAAGGTCTCTTCTTTTTTTGAAAAAAAATGAAGTGGATAAGAGATGAATAAAGCTTACCTTTTTTTAGTTCAATTACAGAATCCTGAGATTCATTCAGACTAGGAGTTCGCCGGCAAATGTAATCTGGGTTCATGGATTTGGGGTTGAAGATGATTGGAGCGGGTGCAATAAGGAGGACATGATTGATTCACGTATTGACACGTGTCCCTTTGACATGTGGAGCTTGTTTTAATCTGTCGTTTAAAGGTTTTAACTTCGACATTCCCTTCTCCTTTCTCACCTGTCTCGTCTCAACAACAGTTGCCTTGTCAGTGTTAAATATAAGAAAAAAGTAATACTCCCTATACTTACTCTCAGATTATTTTTCTTAAAAAAATTGTAATTAAACAACTGTTTCAATTTTAAAAAATATCAATAAATTTATTATATTGAAAATTATATCTTATGTATGTTTAAATTATTTAATATTTAAGAAATTATTGAAAATATGTTAAATTATAAATATATTACTAAAATAATATGTTTATTGTTATTATGCCGTGCTGCATAGATTTAATCATATTAAAAAGTATATCTTATATATGTTTATTGTTTATTGCCTTTCTAGTAAGGCAAGGAGAAACTTTCTCCTTTCTTATTTGTTCTTTCAATGAATGTGCTTTCAAGGATTCTTAACATGGTTGGTGTTAGAGGTATGTTTGGTTTTCATCCTAAATGCAAGAAAATATGTCTTACTTGTTTAACATTTGCATATGATTTGCTTATTTTCTGTAAAGGAACTGTTGAATATGTTGTTGGAGTAACAAGTGTTTTGGATTACTTTTATGAAATGCCTGGTCTCAAGCTTAATGTTGCTAAAAGTGATTTTTTGTTGTTGGTATTTCTGTTAGTAAAACAAAGGAAATTAAACAGATTACTGGATTCAAACAAGATTTTTTGCCTATGAGATATTTAGGTGTTCCACTTGAATTAGTCAGAGCAGTAATGTTTAGTATAGCAAATTACTGGTGTAGGTAGTTATTATGCCTCAATCTGTTATTAAAAGGATTGAGCAGCTTTGCTCTCGCTTTTTCATGAAAGAGTCTGATAAGGCAACTACTGGAGCCAGAGTAAGTTGGGAGAAGATATGCCTTTTGAAATCTGAAGGAGGGCTTGGTATAAAGGATATAAAGACTTGGGATAAAGCGTGTATGATGCAATTAATCAGAAATATCCTTGCGGGAAAGGGTTCTTTGTGGGTAGCTTGGATGGTTTTTTTTATAGACTTCCAACAATGGATAGGTTGCAGTGTATGGGGCTTGATATCGAAGGTACATGTGTTAATTGTAACGATGCTTTGGAGAGAAGGGATCACTTGTTCTTTAAGTGTCCTTTGGCTTCTACATTATGGGAGGTTGTGTTGAGCCTAAGTGGTTTGCGGAGAAATTCCTTATCATGGGAGGCTGAGGTAGCATGGGCCAGTGGTGCTTGGAAAGGAAAATATTTACTCACAACAATCATGAAACTAGCTTGGTGTGCTCAAACTTACATTCTATGGGATGAGAGAAACAGAAGATTGTTCCAAGGCTACTCAAGAAATGTTGTTGAGATGCTTAAGATTATTAAGAAATTGTTGGTATACAATTAAGGGGTATGAACATAAATAGACTTGATAGTGTTAATATTACTCTTTATAATCAATGGGATATAGCTTAATCGATCCATTGTTTTGTAAGTAGGGTGATCGATGTTATTAGAATGTTGATTTTGTTTTTTTAGCAGGAACTCTCTTCTTTGGGTAATAAATTGTTTAATCCAAAAAAAAAATTGTTTGATAGCAACTTGGAACCTAAACATTTAATTTATTTGAATGAAAATAGATTAAACATATATGTGGCTGAGAATAACTTTTCAATCTTCTAATGTACACCTTCTATAGGTGGGACGTGCACAGCTGCTTTAACCACCTATTGAAACTAAAAATACGTCAAACACTCTAATTATAAGGACTGATTTCCCATAATTTTTTTAAATTTACATATATTTTAAATATTTAATAATATCTTTTAAGTTAAAAAAAATCATATATTCATTATTCTTAATATAAAACCGTGTGTTCGTTCTTAATTCTAAAACTATAATAAACTATTGTTAACGTGACATTAACTTATTACCAACTTAAGTAAAGAAAAATATCACATTTCGTAATGAAGTAATTATATTAAATGTCAGATGGAAATTATAAGTTTTAGAATTTACAAATACTGTGGTGAACGTTTTATCATATATATATATATATATATATTATTGAAAATAAAAAATATTTTAAATTATAATGAATGTCTATGACCATAAATGTAAATTTAACATATAATTATAATATTATTATGTAACTATTATCACAAAAACTAGTCAGTTAAGATGACACATTGACCATACAAGGAAAATGTTAAAAACCCTAAAAACTTGAATAAAAGATAGATACAAACACATTCTACTACATCTACAAACAAATCACAAAAGATGATAATACTAAAAAACTATCGACAAATTCAAATCATGTATGTAAATCTAATCTTATGATATAAAGTAGGGAAGATCATGATGATAACAAATAAGCGCATATTAATCAGATATTGTGATGTCAAATTCAACCCTAAAAAAAAAGTAAAACGACGAATAAACAATCGAAAATGTACGGGAAAACGTATCATAAACGAATAATTATTAAAAACTAAAAAATTTTATATTAATAAAATTTTATATACGTGTTACCTATACGAATAAAACGTAATAATTAGATTAAACAATATAAATGGAAAGAATATATATACATAATAAAACTAACCTAATTTCGAAGGAAACCCTCGTGCACACTATGAGGTGTCAAATAGATGATTTCGGGGTCCAGTTTAAATTGAAATATCCGATAGCGCAAGTTTATGGTTGGGTTTAAGCATCATCTTTATCCAGTAGGGCATGTCCAATGCTTGGTCCAACTCGTTAAGGCCTACCCATTTCCCCCTTATCATTATAAATTCCATTTATATATATATATTCATACAATAATATCTATACTTTTTTGTTTTAAGGCCCATTTTTATTATGAAGAAAATTCAAATTAATAATATCGTTTTTTGTTTTTTATTCATATTAACTGTTCTTACAAAGTCATTCAATTATAATATCATTTTTATTGATATTGATTATTATGGTGCTACGTAATATTACATTGTTTTAATGTGACAGTCTATGAAGTCGACATGATAGTCCACGTGTAAATGATGTTGTGATGTAGAGGTAAATTTGATTTTGTTAGCCGACTTCGAGTGCCTAATTAAACAAGTTAGAAAGCATAATTAATTAAACAAAAAAACTTATCTTTAAACTTTCAATTAAAATAAATTATCCTATAACCAAGTTAAAAAATTAATTATGCCTTCAAAGTCGACAAACTGTTAAATTACATCATCATTCACGCATCAATTATCGTATCAACATCATTGATTATCATGTCAGCACAATAACTGTAACATCTCAAATCAGGGTCAGTGACTAAATTGCAAATTTTTAAAAACTACGTGCTCGATTTCGAAATAAGTTAAAAGTTCGTGGATTTAATTGAGGAAAGTTGATGTTGGATTTAATGGTAAAGTTTGGAAATAACAAGGGTATTATGGTATTTTCTAAGAGAAGATTTTTATTCTATTTTTAATGGATATAAAAACGTGGGAAAGGAGATAATTTCTCCAGAGTATTCTTCAGTCTTCTTCTTCCTCCTCTCCACCATGAAGCCTTGTATAAGGTAAGTGGATCTTCAGTTGGTTAATTCTTTCGTTTTAAAGCTTGTTTTGATTCTTGGGATGTTAAGAAAGATTAAGGAAAGCTTTAGGTGGCTTAAAACTCAAATATTAGCAAGTTATGAGAAATTAAGAAAAATGAGTTTTTAAGTGAATTTTTGAAATAGAACGAGTTAATAGATTTTGAAGTTTAATTTGACTTGTCAAGGGTTAAATTAAGAGATATGAAGTGATAGAATGGGTTTTAGAACATGTTGGAAATTTAGTGTGATTCTTGAATGTCATGTAAATGATAAAATTTTGAGTTTAAAGAAGTGATTATGGAGTAGAAATGAGTTTAAGTATGTGTATGAAAGTTAGGAATATTAAAGGGAGTGAAGTATGAAGTGTTGAGCTGAAAATGAAGTGATTTTCGAGCTAAAAATATGATTTATGGGCAAGGGGAATCGGTACCCATTCAAGGGGAACCGATACCCCTTCAAACGAACAAAAATTTCCAGAATGTCATGAGATAATCGATACCCCCATAGTAGGGAACCGATTCCCCCTAAAGGAAAATTGTGAATATTGGTTTAATAAGTTCGTTTAAGTTGTTAGTATCAAATTACAAGGTATAGGTATCTAATAATTGTCTTAAAATGTATAATTATGTAGATTCAGAGCCTAATCAAGTTCCGAAATCATTGACAAGTAAGATCGATCAAGGGGAAATATAAGAGATTGGAATTGACTAGTGAGGCCAGGTGAGTGCATACAAGTTAGTTTATAATGTTTAACAGAAATAAGACTTGCGACAAGTCTATTTCCTATATTAGAAGGCCTGAATGTATGATCATAGGCATATGTTTGATTTGGGTATATGTGATAAATATTATAGTATGTATTAAATGATTTGTGTGAATGCATGCAGTGTGATAAGTTATAGGATTTAATATGAATGATCTATATGACTACATGAGAATGTGAAATAGGTTATATGATAGGTGACCATACATGTTACATAGTAAATGTGATCAATTATAAGAATCAATATAATAGATTTATATGACTAAAGGAGAAGGGTGATGAGTTAAATAAGATTAGACTATAGAGTAATATGAGAATAATATATTAGTGAAGGGAATTGAGTATAAATGATGATGCCAAACTATAAGATAAGTGTTATAGAGAAGAAGTATATTTAAAGAGAATTATGGTATATGATTTAAGTAAAATTTAACTAAATAAATAGATTAAACTAGTATAAATGGAAAATGAGATAAGTTAGGTAACATTTACCTAGGAGATAACATAAGATTATATGAATAAGTAGCATAAATGACATAAGGAAAACTTATGTGTTATATGATTT